CTCCGAGCTGGGGCTGTGCTGCTAACATCCTCCTGTGGGTTCATGTAAGCCCGTGTACACACATACCGGATCCAGCCTTCTTTCATCTTTGACAATATAAGACGTTATTATCTTTTTATTTATCTTGGGAAGCTGGGTTTCACATGGAGGGCAGGAATCAGAGCTTCTCTGACTGCCGCCTGCTGACTCACTGCTGCTCCCACAGGTGGGTGTCTGGCACATAACCTGCTGTCCTCGGTGCCCACCAACACCAGAATGAGGTGGCCGGTGGACTCATGAGCACTTTGACCCTCCCCGCGGAGAGAGGGACCTGCATCCTGGACACACACCCACAGGACACCTGCATCTCTCATCCCACCTCACTCCCCAAAAATGGGAGCTCAGAGGGGCGCTCTAATGGACCGGTTCTGTTTCACTGCCCCTGGAGCGGCTGGGCCCCTCCTTCTGTGAGATTTGCGGGCGCTGGGAGGTGGAAGGGGGCACAGACCCTTTGGGGACGTGTTGAGAGCCACAAACGCCCTTCCTGCGCCCACACCGTTCACAGAGCAATTCCGGGGCTCTCAGACAGGGGGCGGCAGCGAGCCCCGAGCTCCGGCTTTGCAGGCGGCTGGGGACTGCGGCAGCGCTGACATTTCCCAGGGACGCAAGCAGTGCGTCTGTCCAAACGCTGCCCGCGCTGTGCCCTCTGCCGGCGACGTGGCTGTGCGGCACTGCGGAGGCCCAGCCCAGCGACTGGAATTTTCCGCTGCCTGCGGGCTCCCCCTCCCCTCCAGAGCTGGCCTGGCGTCTCAAGTTCAGAACAAGTAGCTGAGGAAACTGTCTATTTAACACCCAAATCAGCAAGTTTAAAGGAAATTATTTCTCGCCCACTCGGAGAATTATTCGTTCTGGCCGGTGAGACGCTGGAGCCGAGGCTGGCTGAGAAATGCATGGGCGATTGGGAAGCCGGGCGAGTATTGATCCCGGGCAGGAAGTATTTTAAGCAAATTAAACGGTGGTCACAGCCATCATCATAATGGTTGCTATTTTTCAAGAGTCTCTTTTGGTGCCGAGCATGTAAGCCCTGCGGGGATATCACACACACACACACACACACACACACACTCCATAGCCCTGGAGTGGATTACAGCAACCCCCTAGGGCAGCAGAATTGCCTGTTCCAAGGCAGTACTATTTATGGGAGGAGCCCTCGAAGTGCCGTGATTAAGCAATACACAGCTAACCCAAAGGTTGGGAGTTCAAAGCCACGCAGTCGCTCCTCAGAAGGAAGGCCTGGCTACCTGCCTCTGGGCAGTGCCACTGAGCTGACAATGCCGACTCACAGCGACCCATGTGGCAAGCAGAGCTGCCCCACGGCTGCCAATGTTGAAAGAAGCCAAAAGGCCCACCTTTCTCCTTCAGAGCAAAGGCGGGATTCGAGCTCCGGACCTCGGCATCAGCAGCTAAGTGATGAATCACTGAGCCACTGGGGAGAGGCAGGTTTTAGCATCCTGCTGTTACAGGTGAGGAAACTGAGGCTGAAGCAACAGCTCAGCCCCTGGGGGACAGGGTGGGGTGCTAACCCAGGTTACACTGGGACCGAGCCCACAGGGCAGCAGGCTTGGGCAGCAAAATTCACCTCTGGCCTGTCATTTCCAGGCACAGCCTACCCAGGAGCCACGAGGAGGCAGCTCCTGGGAGTTGACAGCCAGGGCCTCGGGACCAGGAAGGAGTGGACAAAGAGCTAGGACACCGAATTCCAGCCCACTCACCCATCCCAAACAAACAAACACGCAACACAAATCCACAGCCATGGAGCCAGTGCCGGCTCATAGCAACTCTACATAATAGGGAAGAACTACCTACCCCTGGGGGTTCTTAAGTTGTACCCCTTTACGGGAGCAGAAAGCCTCATCTCTCCCTCTCGGAGCTGCTGGTGGATTTGAACTGCTGACCTTGCAGTTAGCAAGCCAACCAAGCCCTGGCACACCCTGTTGCCTAGAAAGACCCGCTGTATTTGTAAAAGGGAGGCTGGTGTCTGCAGGTGTTTAAACCAACCAGCATTCTCTAGTTGAGATGACAGACTAAGAGACTCGCAGACGCTCAGCATTACTGACTGCAGGGGCCCCGGCCACCCCTCTCTCCCGAGGTGTGAGCCCCTCTCGGGAACCCACAGCTGGCGCGCTTCTCTTTTAACCGATTACAAAAAAACAGGGGTGCCGGACTGAGGATGACTCTTTCAGGGGAGAGGGCAAGGCGCTGGGGGTAGGAGGGTGGGGGGCGTTGGTGATCTGCAACAGGTGGGCTCTGATCTTGGCTCTGAGCTTCCCAACAGCCAAGACAAAATGGAAGCACAACTGCCCACGTGGCCGCCATCAATGGCTCACCAC